ACTGAGAACATGGATAGCCAATAGACAAATCACGCTAACCACACCAAGATGCACATTTCACCCTGAAGCTGACAATGATTGTTTTGCAATTATGGAGGCAGGGAGGGAGAAACAGTCTTGAGAAAACTGTGCCTGAGAGTACGTATCCTTAAAGTTCAATTCCTGCCTCTCTACTGTCTTTGGAACTTCAAGATAGCACTTCTCTGAACATCATCTGATGACTTGTGACTTCTCTTCTTGCTTGACAAATCTCCTTCAAAGCCCCTTCATGAATGGAAGTGACCATCAATGCCAACTTTCAATGCCAATTCCATATCTAATGCTCAACTCATAAATTTTGTTGGAGTTGAGATTCTCAACAAAACTATATCCACTAAGACATCACTGAAACATTCACACATGGAACACAAAGGTCTGAAAATATACCAAAAATGCATTTGATTCAATGCACTTAGAGTGCTGGTGTGATTGGAAGGGTGAGCCCCTGATCAAGGGTGAGCCCCTGATCAAACAAGTTGTGTAAGCCCATTGAGCTGCTCTGCTTCAGAACTTTGTATTTGTTACATGGGCTCAATAACTTCCAGGTAGGGATATGATGTGGGGACACTAGGGTTTATGTGTTCATCCCCCATTTTCAGCACTCTTGCAGCCTTCTAATAGATTCAGGCCTAACATGTGAATAGGGCTTAAGTTTAGATATGTGGAAAAGTGAGGGATATCACCTTATTCTTTTTACCGCAAGGTGTCCCTTCTCTCATACTCTGTTATTTTTATCCATTCCTTTTTGGTAACGTGCTTTATCATATTAATTGTAAGAACTAGATCCAATCCTAAGATTTGATGATATATTTTATGAATTTCATAACAACAAATAATAATGGTATTCCATCAAACCAATTCCAAATTACAATTCTTATTTCAGAAGTCAATTACAAATCCTTTCTCCCAAAGACAATCTGGCACTCTGCAGTTTGCCCAAGGCTACATAGACAGGCTTTTCTCCTGGGAAGCACAGTGAGAAATAAAATTCTTGACCTCTGGCTCCATGGCCTGGTACATAAAGTACATTCAAGGTAATATGCTTTTAGCATACACTGATTTAGAGAATACGTATATACTATTAATTCTCACTGTGAAAATAACAGGACTTAACATTTTTGAAAATGTGGGAGGAATACATCTGCTTTTTTCATTACTGCCAATGAGTTTTATGATAGTAAAGAGTAATGAAAGAAAGAACATCTTGTGACTGTGACATAATGAAAAGAGTGGGGCTGTTGTTGCAGGAAAGATCATGATTTGTGGCAATACTGTATTTTCATTGCTTTCAACCCCATCATTTTTGAAAGAATGGGATCATCAAAAAACAAAAAAACAAACAGCATATGGAAACCAGAGACCAGCTGTATCAAGATCATTATTCTTAGATTATTATTTTCCACCTTGGTTATTCCGCTTTACAAAGAAAGCAGCTAGAACTTGATTTCAGTTTACAAGATAGAATGAGGCGAACGTACTCTAAATGAAACAGTCGTTCTGAAACAGCATAACTGCAAAACGATCAAATGCAAGTTTATATTGCAATTTAGTTTAGGCTTCAAAGAAAATGGAAAATGGTTTTCTCTAAAGATCCAGAGCTACCTTCTGATTTAAATATAACAATGACAATCAATTCAAACAGGGAGGTATAAGCTTCTCATAAGAATATGCATTTAAAGAACTGGTAAGCAATCTCATTTTCTGAAGCGCAACAAAGGTTTCAACATATTTCCAAAGACAATAGAGCAGCAATGAAGTGGTAGTCTTGGCAACCAAAGCGTCAGATAGTTGGGTATTTTAGAACAATTGTAGAAACCATAAAAATAATGAATTTTTCTGCATTTTTATCTTAGAAAATCTTGACCTAACAGTCACTCCATTGCAATCAACATCTACGGCACGATTTTATTCATGTCTACTCAGCCCTAGTGAGTTTGAGAACTTATTGCCAGGCAAATTTCCATAGGATTGCAAATCCTAACTCAGATGTGCACTGGGTGCAAATGATGGGGAAAGAGCACAAGTCCCTTCTGCCAGCAGAATCCTCTTCTGCCAGTTCTCAAAAATCTGTTGTCAGAGCCATTTGCTGGCAGGACAATTCTGCTGGTGAAAATCTGCTAGCCGAAGAGCCAAAAGAAGGGGGAAGAGAAACAGGATTCAAGTTAAACTAGAGACAAATCTCTTCTCAGCAAAGTTAGGTGATTGTGAGGGTAGTGTTAAGTAATTTCTAACCTCTCTACATCGTGGAGATGGATGCTAGAGGGGAAAAGGTTGCCTGCAGTTAGAGAATTTCCCGCAGTCTAGATGGGGACCCTCTTCCCCACCAAAGATAGGCGACTGCTTTCTGGAGGGCAAAATGCACCCTTTCAGATGTAATCAGACTGCAACTCTCAAGGTCCCTCACCCTTCACTGTGTTGTCTAGGACTCTTATGAGTTGCAATTCGACAACATCTTGAGGGCCTTACTTTGCCCACCCATGATCAATTGGAAATGATGATGAATTCAGGTTGGAAAAAAAGGAAATGAACACCACAAAGGGACAGATCTAAGTCTTTGTGTGTTTTAGACATGAGGAAGCAACCTAATGCGAGCTGACCTGGGCTTCCATCAGTTATGTGAACAAAAGAAATTCATCTATAAATGTGGCAGCCCCAACTATTTCACTCTGTTTGCTGACCATTCAGTATCTTTAGGATATGACTAAAATGCAGCTCCTGCTGACTTTAGAACAGTAGCATAGTATACTTGCTTATTCATTACATCTATGTCCCACCTCTCCTCAGTGAGCTGATGGGGTGGATTTGGCAGCCCTCCTCCCTGCTTTATCTTCACAACACTAAGGTTGAGAACTGGTGTCTAGACCAACATCACCCAATGACTGTCAGGCTCATTGGGGACCAGACCCAACGTCTTCCACAGTACTCTTACCATTACACCTATGGGTTGTCTTATATCATATTGGTATATGTGCTCCAGAAACTATCTCTGGCTTTAGTTGTGCCCAGGAGGCTTACCACAGGTATTAAGATGAAATACAGAATCCTCTTCAGCAGATTTGGCATTCTGTAACAACGTAACTGGTTTGTCCAAGTGGAATCCACAAACTCTCCATCACTGGAAAAGGGAAAAGAGAAGGAAAGCAAATCTGCAGAGTCCTAAACCTTCTTGACAGTCTCAACTGGAGTAAACCCATCAAATCTACTGCTGAATGGAGAATCAGTACACATATACACTGACTCAATGGATCTATTAAAATTAGCACTATGTACTACATTTAGGCCAGAGTCTCTGATGTATAAGACACACATTAGTTCATCTCCTCTAATTGTAGGAGGGGAGGAAGAAGAAGTGAACACTCTTTCAGCTAATGACAGCAGCCATTTGTTATTTTAAAAATGGAGCTTTGTGAAGCTCAAAAGCTTCAGATTTCAGAATCGGGGTGCAATTACATCCTGAGAAAAATGTGATGGATTCACTGTGAAGTCCCACCAGGAAGTCAGGTTCCCCTTGTTAATTCACTCCTGCCAACCAGACAGGTGACAGCAGAGAGAGGGGAGGAAATCTGCCTTATTTGCGCCTTGTTAACTGTTTCAATTCTCTCCTCCCCACACCTGGGGCCTAGTCGGCTTGTTTTCCTCTTCCTTTCCCATTCACTTCCTTCCTTCCTTGATAGCTCTGCTACAGATCTGAAAGAGGCACAATTATAGCAGAGCTACCTTAAAACTTTTTCCTTGCTCTCTGCTCAGTCCTTGCTGTCCCCTCTTTTGGTCACCCAGCTGCCATAGTGCTAGATTAGAAAGCCTTTTAAAAAGAAAGACATGGAATAGGAAGGGAAGATGGAAGCTGATCCTATGGAAAAATCAGAAAAGCTTTCTGCATCTTTAATATAATCACCCCATTGCTGTTTGTTAAGACATTTTGGACTTTACTTACAACTTTTCAACTAATGTGGAAGTTCCATCAGCATACAGGCCTTTGGTAAAGAGCTCATCCACCAGAAAATCAATTCGAGGGGGAGTGAAGGGTATAAGCTGAGTGAAAAACGCAATGTCAGTATTTACTTACTTACTTACTTACTTACTTACTTACTTACTTACTTACTTACTTACTTACTTACTTACTTATACCCCGCCTATCTAGTCAAATGACCACTCTAGGCGGCTTCCAACATATAGAACAACAATATAACAAAATTGCAATATAACAAATTTTTTAAACATCAGTAAATGAATTATCCAAGAAGAAAAAAGGAAAAAAAAGAAAAAAAGGAAAGAATATAAAAAGAAAAAAGAAATTAAGTATTAACTGGAGGGAAGGCCTGCATAAACATCCAAATTTTCAGTTGGAATTTTAAAAATGCCCAGCGAAGGGGCCACACAAATCTCTGGAGGAAGGTTATTCGAGAGGCGAGGAGCTACCGCCGAGAAGGCCACCTGAGTTTCCATGGTGAGTGCCAGGTCCAGATGGATCCCCAAGCTGCGAACCTCACTCTTTGCGGTAAGAGTCAAACCCCCCCAAATGAGAGAGAGTTTCTCAGACCGCTGATGGTGGGGCCACTATTTAAAGGTAGGATTTCTTTTTTTATTATTATTAACAAACAGCATTTACCAATACTATTCTTTACCAGGATGGTGAGTTAATGTTCTTAGTACTAAACTGTATTGGTTGTGCATGATGGGATTTTTTATTGTTATGCACCTCTGTGTTATGAAATCCTTGCTTAAATTAAAGCAGTATAACTAAATGGAATGCACTCATTATACATTAAAATGAAGACAACATAAGAAATAGGTATTCATGATCACAGAGCTTACCGTATGCCCTGCTTCCTGCAGGAGTTTTCTGGTTTCCTGCACAGCCCGTCTCATGCTGGGAGATGGTTCAAAATAACCATCATCATCATAATATCCAATCCTAAGGGGCTTGGAACTTGAGTAAATCTGCAATGAATTGAATCTTCATTTAGTGCTAGTCACCAGGTAAAGAACTTGATGTTCTGGTGATGTCACCAAAGCACAGGTTGCTGTCCTCTGAAGATGCCGGCCACAGAGACTGGTGAAACGTCAGGAAGAATAACCTTCAGAACACGGCCAAAGAGCCCGAAAAACCCAGAACAACCAACTTGATGTTTATTGGTTCTCTTTATGTCCTTGTGGGTGGGATTGAGTAGTTATGTTTTAACCATTGTTAGCTGTCCAGAATAATGCTTAGGCACTAGATGGGTGGGATATAAATGTAATGGATGGATGGATGGATGGATGGATGGATGGATGGATGGATGGATGGATGGAATTCTTGAGATGAATTCATTGAATTCATTTTTGACAGCTCAGCCAGGGGTGACATCTGAGGGATATTCCCATAGGCAAAACCATACACTAAGATCTTCAGAAGAGGCCCTTCTCAGTATCACCACCATTTGAAATATGAAATGGCCTTTCGAATACTGGTCAACCAAGTTATGGAATGCTCTTTCAAGGATACTCTGCTGAAGCCTATAGAGTGGCCACTTACACAACATGGAAAAAGGAGGACAAAAGAGGACACCAATTCACATAACAATGACTCTTTCTAAACCATCCTCACTATACAGCACTCCAGATTATCCTTGAAATCAGAGACATTACCTCATCATTAAAAGGGAGTGGGGGCACAGCTGGATCCAGGAGGAACATCTCATCACACAGAAGGGCCCTCATGCAGAGAACCAGACTGTCCACATCTTTTGTCATTGGGCCTGTCACAGAGATGACTGAAATAAAACAGAAAAGCCTCTGAATGTGAGGAAACAGTAGTAGTATGTGTTACATGGGAAGGATCTCCTAAAACTACTATGAATGTGAACTGACAGCAACTTTAATAAAAATGGGTTCCAAATCTTCAATTCTGCAGTATGAACATTCAAAAGAATTAACTTAAGTGCATTGTAGGGCCATAATGGCCAGAAACCTATTGGTGCTTTTGCTGTGACTAATTGCTGAGATGCCAGGGTGCATCTCTGTCACACAATAGGAAGCATGATCAAGCACACAACTACTGTAGGATGCAACCTGCCATTTTATCAAATAACATGTTATGCAGACCTTGTGCAAACACCAGCAGAATTCTGGTCACCGTGTCCTACCATTGTAGAGACAATCCCTGAACACCACTTCCATTCAGGTACACAGGGAAATGTCCCATACTGATTCAACCCATTTGTCCATCCATCCAATCACTGAAAACGCTGAGTGGTAGTGGTTTGCCATGGTTTCAGCCAGGCTCCTTTGGTAGCATTACGAGGAGATCTCTGGTTTTTGAACGGGAGACCACTATGCTTTTGTAGCATTACAAGGGATATCGTCTTCATGTACTAACTTGATCCCACCTTGTTCCTAAAATCAGATGGATTAGTATGTTCTGGGCGATAACACAGTTATGATATACTACTTTCACACCTCCTGTTTCCTTTACATATGTGTGTGTGTGTGTGTGTGCGTGTGTGTGTGTGTGTGTGCGCGCACGCACGTGCATGCGCGCGCGCGCGCGCACATTTAGATTTATTCTTGGTGAAACAAAACAAAATTTAAGGCTTCCCTTTCTAGTGTGGAAAAAAACTGAATACAGAAAATTATTTTGCTCAAACTAGAATAGCTTCACAAACTGATATCAGAAAATATTGGGATGTTTGGCTGAGATTGTACAAGGTGGGAAATGGTGTTTTGTTTAACCCCCCCAAACAGAAGCTTTAAACTGGTCTACAGAAAAGGAAGGAGTGAATTACCATGGTTTATGATCACATCAGATCTGGACCAAAAATATCACATGCCAGATTGAATGCCAATTCAAAAGTTCTATTGCTGTACCTTGAAAAATCAAGTTTCATATTTGAAACCTGCACCATACCACATACTGCTTTCTTCAGCAGTGTTAACGGCAACAATTGTGGTAAATCTGGTAAGATGAGAGTTTTGAAGCTAGTCAACAGAAATGGTTGAACATATTTGACAAAACTCTCAAGAAGGGGCAAAACAAACACATGCAGCTATTCCCGATGACACATCATGGTGAATGAGGCACATCCTCAGAAGGCCCCAGATGAAATTTTTATCTCAAAGTGATGAACTCACTGGGTACCTGTGTGGCAGTTAGTGGCTTTTATACTTAATTTCATCCATACACAGATTAGAATTTAAAAAAAAAAAAATTCAGTTCTCAGAACTCTCAACCAGCATGGCTGCTTTAAGAGTTGACATCCAAAATTAAAAACAAAAGAAAAAATTCTGACACATGTTGTCATATACCAGTACAGTGTAAGACAATAATAATGTTGGCCTTCCTTGCAGACTATTGTAAGATTAGTAAATTAATATACAGATAGCCCATTTGAGCATGTAAGAACAGTTCTATAGCAATGCCTATTGTTGCCCATCTTTGTGTCCTATAGACCGCCTGTGTGAGCATGCACATACCTGCATACATGCATGCATGTAAACACATGTATTATTTCACTTTATTTTCAGTCTTTATACCAGACACACTTGCAAATGTAAAATGTAAACCTGATTGCCTAGGATCTAAAGAAATCAAACTTCTGAAACAGCATGCATAGCTACGATTCTGTTTATTGAAAAACAATGGCAATACTTTTTTTCTCATTTTTGTGTTTTGCAAAATTTCCATGGTTCTTGATTGCTTTAAAAATGTAGCTATTATTCACTGGGGAGGGTTGGAGAATCACAATCAGAAAATAAGATTGAAAGTTGGTCCCCTCATAAAAGGACATTTAAGATTGACTGACTGAAAGACAGACAGACGAGACTGACCAATTTTTGAAGGCTGATTGCTTATCAGAAGACCAATATATTCATCAAAGGGCTTGGCACTTGTTTTGAACTTTCCCATGAGCTGAGTAACAGTTTCAGCTCTAGCTTGTTTTTTATCAGCAAAAGACTAGCTCACCTGAGTTCATTCCAGCTACTGGAGAGGTAGCACCTTTGACGCTGCAAAAGAGCCAACGAGAAAAGTAAATTAATGATGGAGAAAAGCCAAATGACAGAAAGAGCCAAAGAGACCAAGCCATGAAATGCAAGTGACATGTGTCAAAGGATGTTACTAATAGCTGCAAGCTATTGGAAAACCATTGGAAATTCTGCACAGAGTATGGCCTGTTTATATTTCTTTTTCTTCTCCATATGTAAATATAACAAGTACTTTTCATTACCTTTAATTAATTATCTCCCTTGCTTGTGTAGAGCTACATGCAGTAGGAAGATATTTGATAAACTCTCTGACTGAAGGAGATCGTGGATATTTTAACTATGCAGCTTGCATACACTGGGGATTCAAACAATTTCACTTCCCTTCTTAGAATTTAGACCAGAACTAACAACAATTTGCAGAGAGATTTGAGCTTTAAGTGAAAACAGGCTCTGGACCTTCTCCGTGTTTAATACTTTCAGTGGCACAGCCCACTTTTTTAGTCCAGAAGTTAAGAGTTATGCTACTAATGCAGTTCTTCCCCTTCATCTCCACCCGCTCCTCAATCGTCTTCTACTTATATTACTAAATTTCCTGGAAGACTTGTGTATCTCTCTAAGAACTCAAAGTTTAACTACCTGTAAATGGGCCAGCATTCTCTTCCATTCACCCGATGAGAAGACCTTATTGATACACTTATTGGGTGTACAGTTCAGCATTTATGCAGAGCCAAGATTGAATTGATCTCAGTCCCAGACCCTGTTCTGATGCCAAAACACAACAATGGGATGCATTTCTTCAAAACTGAGAAATCACAACTCTCCATTGTGGCATACTTAGATGTCTGGGGTATGAGAAACAGGAAGATCAGGTATAAAGAAAAATTGAATCATGTTGACTCTACCACCCTGGGAAGAGGGAGACAATATCAGGAATGCCCCCCATTAGTGGCCATCCAGAGACAGTTACCAATGGTCACTGATGGGTTACAACAGCTGATCTTGCAGTCCTGTTTGTGCATCTTAATCCTTTGGTCAGATACGTGTGACTTGATACATTCTGGGATGCATGCCGTGAGTGTATATTTATGTGTGAAAAACACATACATAGAGAATTGACAGCACACAGAAAATATACATACTTGCATGTGTTTACAAATGGATGCATATTTACATGTTTGTGTGAGAGGGTGTGACTTTATGTGTGAAAAACACATACATAGAGAACTGACAGCACACAGAAAATATGCATACTTGCATGTGTGTTTACAAATGGATGCATATGTACATGTTTGTGTGAGAGGGTGTGAATGGAATGTACAGGCTGTTTGCTTGTGTTTGTGCATGTGAGAAAGGACACAGAGAAAGTCTAAGAACAAATGACAATTGGATAGGATCATACTGTGCATGGGTGAGGGTATGTAAGTCACAACAAAAGGATGATGATGCAGAGGAAGAGCATGAGAGAACAGGGATGTTCTATGTTTTTAATTTGTCCCCAGCCACTTTTGTCTTTAGCCACAACCACTATGAGATCAGGCTTCTGCTGGGGAAATGTGGCCCTCATTTTTAAAATAGGTTCCCCACGTCTAGCTTAATAGCTTCTTGGCCTTGCCATATGACAGATCATGCTAACTAGTACGTGTTGTGTTTACAATCTAGTTTACTGTGGCTTTTTGAAATAAAAAGAGCCATGGAAAACTTGTGTCAAGAAATTCTGAATGCCTGCAGTTTGTTTTTAAAAGGTAGTGCTTCTCCTTTTTTATTTAGTTGACTTTACATGATTGATGTAGCTTAGTGAGCAGGAATATCTGGCTGTAGAGAAGACCCAGCCTGTGTAACGTTAGGCAAGCTGTGTAGTTGCAGGGCAAAGGGAATAGTAAACCACTCCGGAGTACTGTATATCTAGAAGACCCTGGAAATCTATTTGTGTGCATGCAGTTAGTATTAATTTGGTCCAAACCTGTTGTACCTACCTAATCCTATAACCAGTTGGTTTGAACCCACAGATTCCACAAAATCCACATGGCACACGGATACTTGCAGCCACGTCTGTACCAATTCCAAGGATGGAGCCTCCTGCTGCAACAAGTGCTGCTTCTCCCCCGCTGGAGCCTCCAGAGGTTTTCTTGTGGTTGAAAGGATTCAAGGTTTGTCCAAAGACTGTATTGCCACAATCAATACTGAGCAGGAAGGGAAAGGAGTCGTAAGTTAAGGTTCCCGTTCCAAGGCATTGGGCTCTTCTTGGCACAAGGTGGACTTTGAACAGGCATGCAATTCACAAAAAGTACTGCAACAGCTTCCTTAAGGAACATCCTACATGAGCAAACTTCATAGACCTTAGACTGCAGCAAAAAACAAGAGTGTGACGAACACATTTGGGGGATTGCAAAATAAATTGGTGAGCTATGCCACCTCTTCACATGAATGTGTGAGTTATTCAAGTGTTAAGCGCCATTGGCTTAAAATAATGAACTGGCCATTTTTACTTATGAAAGGCATCTTTACTAGACAGAGACAGATTGATGTAGTACTATTCTATTTTATATTTTATTACCCTTGGGTAACTATAAATTCATTTCCATTTCAGTTTGTGAACTTAAGAAACAATGTCTATATCAACAGTCATGCATATTTTGTGTACATGAATTCTAATATGTTATTGTGTATTTACTTTTCCTAATACACACAGCTTTCACATGCTATCTCCCTTATGAAATGTTCTTTTCTTCTTCTTCTTTTTAAGATTATGGAGACAATCCACAAAACTGCAGGCACATTCCTTGTATACAGGTCTGTACACATTCTTTTGATTGTAGAACTATATTGCAAAACTTAGCACAAATGTTGAAGCAGAACTGTTTCAGTTTACAGAATTCAAGCCAAACACACCTCACCATCTCTATTCTTTGCAACAATTTTTGCTGTTCATTATTGTAAGACGGCAATAACATTTTTAGCAGTATCTGGGGACAGAGGTGCAAGTAAGCCCTGCTCAAATTCAGTGGTTTGTAGAATGCAAGTTAGATGATAGAAAGATTAACTTGGAGAAAACAGTCTATCATGCTTTCAGTTTATAGGACTTTGGGACAAGAAGAGGTTTCGATATGAAACCAGTAATCTATGTGCTGTAATGGGTGGAGCTTTCTCTTTACTTTTTTCTTGAACTTGGCTACAAGTACCTTTGTAAATAAACAGATTTATCCAAACATGCCATCAGACTTCAAGCTTCCTTCCATTCTACAAAGAGACCTCTCCCTGTAAAAACTCACCTCTATTTTTTCCTATTAAGAAAGAGTCAAATTCTCCATGTATTATACAGAGTGGAATACAGCTGTGAACTAGCAAGTGAATCCTTTCCTGGCATGGAGATAATGGCTGAAATACTGTTCCACATGTGCAACAGTGATGACACCCTAGTCAGTGGCAAACTGTCTCTGGTTAAATACTTCCTTTGGCAATGTTGGGTCCATATGACTTTGTCATATTGTTTACAAGTTTATATGCACCCCAAGATCAGCTTTAACAGTTGCAATTAGACATGAGGATGAATTTAAAAAATAATTGCGATATTCATTAAAAATTGCTGATTCATTAAATATTCATCCTTTCATATTTCTCCATTGCAGAGACCCCAACAAATATGAAGGGACAAATATTGCCCAATTTTTATTTGTCCCCCATAGGAAGAAAGGGACGGCTAGCCTTCCCTCTTCTCTTATGGCCTTCCCATTCTGCCTATGGGCCCGCCAACTCTGTGGGTTCCGAAAGAGCAAAAACAGCCTCTTCTTTTGTGGGCCCCCGCCCCCTTCCTCTCCCTACCTTAGTCGCCACCACCATCCAGCACCACTGTCATCCATTGCTGCCTGCTGCAGTGGCTTCCGCAGCCATGGCCTGCAGTAAGGGACACTGCTATCCTTTGCAAAGATGGCAGCTGTGGCTTTATTTAGGGTAGGGAAGCTCCAGTTGCCATCTTTGCAAAGGGCAGCCTGGAGTCCCTTAGCCTGCCTTAAGGGAATTCAGGCTGCCCTTTACAAAGATGGAGGCTGTAGCTTCTTTACCTAATTGAAGCCACAGCTGCCATCTTTGCAAAGGACAACCAGTGTCCCTTACTGCAGGCCATGGTGGCTGAGGCCATCTGCAGACTGCGGCAGCAGTCATGGGGCCAGCGGGGGAGCAGCAGCAGGGGGTGGTGTGGCAGCACAGCGACCACTGCCAAGGTAGGGAACTGACAGGGGCAGGGGGCAGGCTGTGGGGCTGGGGATCAGCTTTTTTAAGACAACCTCTGGCCATCTAAAAAAAAAACCAGACAAACCAACAAATTCATGCTTCAACGGTTCATGGGTAAGCTTCGTTCTTTATCAACTTTGATGGATCATGAAGTAGGACGAATTGCCAAAATGGCAATTCGTCCCCATCTCTAGTTGCAATTTCTCTTTAATTAGCAATGAGCTGTGACTTCTGACACAATCAAGGCACATGTGGAACTTCACACCAGGATTTCACCCAGTGAGACAGAAGAAGCTCTACCACTCTAATTTCTGTGGGTCAGAATGCTACTGAAGACAGGAGAGTTCAGACACTCAAAAGGGCAAACTTACTTGGACAAACAAGACCCAGCTCATGTCTTTAAGAACTGCACAGAATAAGCATTTTAAATAAAAGAACAGATACAGTACTTACTTTAATATGGCCTGGGAAGTGTTGGTCTTTACGAATGGGATTGCCCCTTGTTTTTTTAACACCTTCACTATTACCGAGTCATCCTGCTCAGGGCAGTCTAAAAATTTCACCAAGCCAAGTGTGTTGGGGTACCCCTTAAAGAAGAGAAATAGACTTGGTGACTTTCCTTTGGACCTATTGCCCACTTCTTATTCCACCCGACGAAATGTAGCATGCCTATACTGTATATTATAAATTTACAGGAATTTGATACCAGTTTAACTGCCATAGCTCCATCCTAAAAAAAGTCCTGCAATTTGCAATTTGGTAAGGTATTTTGAATTGTCTGCTAGAAAGCTCTCCTACATTTACATCAACAAGTGCAGAGAATTCTAAATTTCCTTATAGACTACAGATTCTGTAGAATCAAGCCACGAGAGTCATCAAACTGCCACAACTATGTAATAGATACCTTTTTCATAGCATAACGTTTCAGCAATTAAGAGTGACTTCAGACATACACAGGTTCATTCCCACTGGAAATTGTATTTTTGCAGATAATTTACACTTCCCAAATATCTATTTTAATTATTATTTTGTTACTGGGTAGGAGACAATGTATCCTGTTTGGTCCTTCTTTTGTCTTTCTCTAATCCCTTCTTAGTGGGGAAAACTTTCCACAGCAAAAGAGGGTGATTGTGGAGGAAGAGGAGCAGAGCTGCTGGTGGTCACCAGAACATGGCAACTGGGAACTGTAGTCTACCTCAGAAAAACTGATTTAGTTGTGTGATCTAAACCAGTGGTTCCCAGCATTGAGTAACCTAAGTATTCTCGGAGTGCAACTCCCTGAGGACTTCCCCACTATCTGTGCTGGTCAGGGTTACTGGGAGTTGCAGTTCAAGGTTGGGAGCCACTGATCTAAAACAAATAAAAATACTAAAATATGAACTTTAAGCTAATTCACTCACTCTAGTGTGCCACTCCCTACCTGATGAATAATGGCAAATTTTACCTTGCAAGCAACATTTTCCTTGATGCTGACAGGGACTCCATAAAGCAAACCCTTCTCCCGTTTTTTCACTTCTTGAAGCTGTTCTTCACACTCTGGAAGGAAGTCTGTCACACAGTTGATTTGATGGGTTACTTCTAAGGCCTTCAGATGAGCAAACCACAGAGGAGGAAAGTGAGTTAGTGCAATAACATCTAAGGGTCATAGCAATAATTCTGTCTTCTTTGCTGTCCAAAACTGGACACTGTGAGGATCTCTTTTCCACACTGCACACGTGCTTTATTTTTAATAACACACAGGATACAAGCTTGCTAGATCACTGTACTTGGGAAATGTCCAAGTTGAAGACCACAAAGGATGCATTCTGACTTGCTATGCAGCAACTTCTAACTGCAGAAAATAAAGCTGGCTCCTTTGCTGGTGATGATTAAAGCACAGTTTGCAGAACAATGGTTCAAAAGCAGCACTTTAAATAACCACAGGGTATGAAATACTTCACTGGCTAAATATATCAGTGGACGATAAAGTGTAGAGAGCACTAAACATATTGGGGATAAAAACCATTAACTTTCCTTCAGTTTTGAAAATGATTCCCACATTATTGGTTGAGAGACCAATTTGTAATATCACAGTAATTTTCTGAGGCATTAGATAAGCATGTCAAGGAATAAAGAACTATTTTGGCATCTGTAAACCAGTTGGCTGGACTGATAGACTCCACAGGATAATTATATTCTACTGGAAGGTCCCCTCAGTGAAAAATCTGGAAACTACTAACATCACTGGCTAGCCACCCCTTCTCTCTCTCTTTCTCAATCTCTCTCACACAGAGAGAGATTTTGTGAGTGATGAACCTGCTACTTTTCTCCCAGCACCAGGTGAAGGCCCATACTTTTGTCCACTTTAAGTCTATGCATTACAGCTGCCAAGCGAACACTCCATTCATTTGATTCACTGCCTCTGCTCCCCACAACTGTGAAAACCAAGCAGTTCCAAAAATGGAAGTCCCTTCTAGCTTAGCTGTTAGGAGCTATAATAAATCTACTACAGCTGAAAATAACTCTCTGAATCACATGGTGCTTCAAAGGTCTGAGTCCATTGCATGCCCCATATACAGGAAGAGAGATGGAAATGGTGGATTCCCATTAACTCCACAATTGTGATGATCCTGAGTATATAATTACAGAATTCATGCAAGCTGCAGAATGTGTCTTAATGGGGAGCAGAATCTGAATTACCTTTGTGAAGAAAGTGGTATGGGTGAGTACATGTATGTCACAGAGTATAAATGGAGGATTAGGGAACTGGGGTTTCCTTTAAAAGAAATAGGTGGAAACATTTTTAAATTTTTCTCTAAATTAATTACTCCATAATAATTATTCATTGAATTAAATAATTGTAATTTAAAGGAATTAAACAAGACTGAAACTGAACAGAATTCAGTCAATTGATATTCTAAATTGGTGTGTGATGCATAGCCACTGCCTTTCCCTCCATTTATTCAGGCCCTCTCATCACAGTAGTTGTTTGGCTATAATTTGGCATTCACATGAGGTCCCAAAGGTGAGCTGTACAACATTTCCAGTATCGAAAAAGTATCACTACTTTGTAAAGTTTTAAATGGCTTTGAGGTTCACAGAGACAAAGAACTGAGTCTGTTAAAGCAATACATATCCTGCATTAGGACTGTAAACTGAAATTAGATTTACCTTTTCTATGTATGTGTACAGGACACTTTCGGGTGACAAGCTACCATCTTTCAACTTGGCGCTCAATTCCGCAAGAGAAAGAGACAGAATAGAAGCTCCTTTCACTCCTGGATTCTGCAACACAGAACAAACACAACACAGTCATATTTCTACATTATTTGTATTTGCTAGACCACAAGCAGAGAACCTTCAGCCCTCCAACGGTTGATGAACTACTACTCTCGTCATATCTTGCCATTGGCCCAGTTGGCTCGGGCTGATGGGAAGTGGACCTCACCAATATTTGGAATGCCCACTTATCCCATATCTGTGGTAGATGACACTGGCATCTTGCTCTATTGAGACAATGTGCTTTCACATAGGCAGTGTAGGTCAGAGGTTGCCCAGCCATTCTATTTTATGATGCAATGGTGAATGGCTTGATGGCAACAGCAGCACAAGGGTGCTCACTTCTGTTTATTTTACCAAACACATTTCTGAATTAGTTTAACCATCCATTAAATAAATGCTTGAAATAGTTTACAATTGTGCTATGTGCTGTCAAGTCAGAACTGATCTACAGCAATCCTAAGAGGCTTTCAAAGTAAAGAGAGATATTTGAGGAGTGATTTTACTAGTTTGATCACCCCCAGTGAGGTTCCATCACTGGAACCTATGTCTCCTGAATCCTAGTTTGTTGCTCTTATCCACTACACCACACTGAATTATCTATATAATAAAACCATAAACATAAGAAAATGTGACAATTTTGTGCATTTTTGTAAAACCCATCAGGAAAATATATATGGTAACCTTCTTAAATCAAAGAACAACATGAGTCATTAAAACCTCAATGGAACAGCACAGTTTTTAACAAACCATTTCAAAGCCAGTAAAAGGAAGTCAACCTAATCTGTAGGAAGAATTCTACAACTGGGGTATGGCTGCCAGAGATGGCAAAAGACAATTATTGCTGTTTTTCTACAGCTCTTGGAATACCTAAGTATTCTGGAACTTATTGTTCAAGAAAAGTTATTTTTCCTGTCTGGAGTTGCTACCCAGAATTCCCTATCTTATCAACTCCAGGTGGAGGAAAATGTGCAACGGGGTTGCAGATGGACGAGTGGAGCTTTAGGAAGATTCACTTCATACAGGAGGAATCTTGGCCTCAAGCTATTTAAATTGTTATAGATATTAACTAAAATCTTAAACTGGGCCCAGAAATGCATAGGAAGTTAGTGGAAATGTTTTAAATCTGGTGCCATGTGGTCTGTGCAACACATACCAGCTCAAAATCTGCTGTGTTTTGCATTAGCCGTTACGGTATTTCCAAATATCCCAACTAGTTGCAGACTCTTTCCTTGAACCCATTGCCAGATGTCCTCAACCGGTTCACCTTTTTCCATGAGCACAGCCTCTGAGTAGGAATTATTCCTGCACTGTTAAGCAAGCAATGA